TTACAATAAAACTTTACAAATCTAAGATTGCTTATATTCCTAATATAATTATTTTAGATTTGTTCATAAAATAAATAGGAAGTAAATTATACTATAATATTATAATCATTGGCGGCCTATTCAGTGGGTGACCGGGGGTTATGATCAAATTTAATTAGCGATACATAGCTACAACATTCTGTGGGTAAGCTCAGCTTGTGTTAGAAGAGTTGAGTTCCAAAGAGAATTATGCTTTATATTAAAATGTTATGAATAATTAGGCTGCAAGTACATTATGAATTCAGTAACGTATCCAGAACTTTTTTTTGAGGGGAGGTCCCGAAAAAAGATCAAAAGAAATCATAATCATAAATTTATCAATAAAAAAATATAATTAAAAATAGTCAATTATTAATTATATAAGTTTGCAAACAAAAATTTCATTATAACAAAGAATTTATTTGATACATTTGTACAATTCGTGTTCCTTACATCGATGGTTACTGCCAGTTAGACGCCGATTTACGGCGCAATTTATGTGCTAGGTTAAATGTCGTATCGAAATTAAGAAAAAAAGCAGACCTAAGTTGAGATTGAAAAATCTCCGAAACGACGAACGTGTCGGAACGCGTTTCGATTCTATGTCACGTGTGTGTGTATTATAATATTATTATTATGATATATTATAGCGGGAAAGAGTTTTAATAGAAATAATAATGATAATAATAACATCAACAACAACTAGAGACAATAATAAACACGACGCTCGCAGTAGCATTACAATATTATTATTGCTTGTTAATAATATTCGACTGTAAATAATACTATTTAGGTAGGTATAGACGTGATGGACGCAGTGGTCTTATACGAGCCGTGAGCGCGCCGCCACTGATACAGCTGCAGTCGTTGTATATCGGACTAAACGCCGATAATAATAATATTATAATAATATCGTCGAGTGCGACAACGTGCCGGTACGCGGACGCGATTAGATCTGTCGGGCGCCCGCGGTCGCCTTATCTCGCGGCCACTATAGTGTCTGAGAGTGTGCGTGTGTGTGCGCGGCGCGATATACCTACACTCGCACAAATAGACCCACACAAGCGCAGGCAGTGTCTGTTCGGCGGCGCGCGTTCAACGTCTGTCGTGTGGTTGCGCAGCAGGCTAGCTGTAGCGAACGGGTCGTGGTCGCGGTGGTGCCGGGCCGTGTCCGAGGAATACAAGACATCGACGACAACAACAACAACAACAACAATACAATACAGTTGATATACGATATTTACATATTATAGACGTGTAGTGTTGTGACGGTGCTCTCGATGGCGACGGAGACGGCAGGGCCGGCGGACGAAAACTGCTTCATCCGCGGTGCTGGCGAAAATATTGGCCATGACGTTCCTGGGTGTGTCTTCGTTCGTGGCCGGCAGTACTCCAGTATGCGTGTTCGAGCGGCTAGGCATCCGGCGACGAGCCCGGGGCGCCGCGAACACCGCGCTCCGGTTGATACTCAACTTTGGCGGCGGCGTGCTGCTGTGCACCACGTTTTTGCACCTGTTGCCCGAGGTCCGGGAGGGCGTCGAGCGGCTGACCGACGACGGGACGCTCGACTCGAAATCCCCCTTGGCCGGCTTGCTCGCCGAGCTCGTCATGTGTGTGGGCTTCTTCTTCATGTACTCGATCGAGGAGCTGGTGCACGGGTTCGCGGGCGGCGACTGTCACGCACACCACAGCCACAGCGGCAGCGGCCACAGCACCGCCGACCGCGGCGGCGGCAGCGGTGAGGTCGCGGTGCCGCAACAGCGCCGGAACGATGCGGTGATCGCGGCCGGTTATCCGAACGCCACCGGGTACGACAAGGTGGACGCGGCTGGCCGGGTGGCCAACTACAACTCTTGCATGTCCACGGTCGAGCTGGCCAAGAAACCTGGGCCTGCCGTCAAGAAACCGGTGCCGGTCGAAGAGTCGTCCTCGCCGTCCGAGTCGGTCCTCCGAGGGTTTTTGGTCGTCGGCGCGCTCAGCATACACGAACTGTTCGAGGGTCTGGCAGTCGGTCTGGAGAAAAATGCCACGCAGGTCAGTAGATGCATTTCATAAGATCTTACAATTTTAAGCGGAATATATTATATAATAATTATTTAGGTACATCCGGCGACATTGTCGGATGCAGTCTTGTACGTAACTATGTAAGATGATTTTTAAAAGTATTCAAATAGGTACCCTGAGGTTCATACGCAGATACTTGCAGCTTTGAAAAGTATTTGATATACGTATACGTTTATCAATACTCCATAAAAAAAAGGCATTTTTAGATAGGTACATACTTACAAATACTAGAGACATGTTTTATATACATTTTTTTTACCATTTAAATAACTTTAAGTTTTTATTGCATTTAATTTGGTAAAAATTATATACCTCATCACGGTTTGGTGTAACTTTCCTTCTTCGAAAGTTCGGTAGAATATAAGTCACTGAAGGAAGCTCATACGTTAGTATTTATACGACAACGGCATACCTACCTATAGTTTAGGACTTTAGGTATAGGTACACTATAGCACTATACAACAGTATTTGGAATTAAATGGATGATTTTTGCCTCTTAAAATAATAATTTGTAAATTTAAAACTATAGAGTTACTTACGGGGTATATGAAAATAAATCTACTGGCCAAATTGTATTGTTTTATATAGATTATAATATTTTATGACTTATATAATATGCACATTGCACATGTCCATTTATCATTTTTTGTAATGTGATCATTGATTTAGTGATTTTTTACTTTGAAAAATTATTTAGAATTCTATCCACTTATAGAGTACTTTTGTAGGTACTTAAAAAGTATTCGTATAGTATTGCTCAAGTACTTTTCAAACCTGGTAGTTTGTATATTGAACACGTTCGGTGAGCGACCTATTATCAATATATATACAATTGTGTGATACATTATTTTATTTTCACGGTCATAGTAAAATCGACCTCAATGTTTTTCTTATATTATTGTATTATTTGTATTTTATGTATAATGTATACGTACTTAAGTCCAAGTATTGATAGTTTTCAGTTTGTCAGTTTTCATGCCAATACGAATTAAAATTAGTGTTCAATACGATAGTACTCATAATATAAAATAAATATATTCCTAGAGGCGAGAATAAAAGTTAAATTTAATTTAATTTGGGTAAGTATATTGGTATTGTTGTTAAAGATTAATTTTTTTAATTGAATGAATGATTTTAAAAATTAAACTGGTTCAATACTTTATTATATTATATTATAATTTATATGTACCTCACGATTGTCTATCAAACATAGTTATATATTATACTAAATGCACTTTATCTACACAAACATTAATCTACCGCGGTTGATTAGAAAACAACAGTACGTTGTACGGAATTAACAGTATTAAAAAATATCGTTACAATTTAAATTAATTTTTCTTGTGTAGGTAGCTCGTGGCATTTACAAAATGTATATTATTACCTATTCAAAATGTAATCAAGTTTTAGATGAAATATTTAGATTGTATTGTTTAGCTGTATAGCGATATAATAGCTGTATAGTATAGAAATATAAAAGGAACAATAATTATTTGATCACCTTACCCAAGCCATAAACGCATTTACAGTAAATATAAATTGTTAAAAAAAGGAGGTTAAAGTTTATTTTACACGTTTTACAATACTTTTATTATAATCGATTCATTTATTTTGGTAGAATTAAATTAGGTTGAACTAAGTAGTTATAACTTATAATAATGACAACAGTTTCTAAGAACAGCTGTCAGCTGGTTTATCAAAAAGTTGGTCTAATAAGTAATAACGTGTGTATTGCACGAATATTTTTTCAATGATACGCCGCGGCCGATACCTACTCGTGGTTGTATACTTAAATAGTATAAGATTTATAATTAATTATTTATTCAATATTTAATCTATAGGGAAATTCTAATTGGATTTTAAGACCTTTTTTTTTTTTAAATTTAGCACAATACTGCCACCCGAGCCCGTATCGTTTATTCTGGATTTTTAGACCTATGATTAAAAGTCCTGCAAAACTCCTAACGAGTCATAATATCTTTAGACTTATCACGTATGACTTATGAGTTATGACCAGGGCTCGGGACTTAAAGCATTTGCTTATTTTTTTAGATTGACATAAAATGTAGCAGAGTACTATAGAAGTGTATATCATGTTACAACACATTCGATTATGAAATTTGAGAGTGCTTTTTTTTGCTTTTTTCAGTGATTTTTCAAAAAAGTGCTTATTTCAAGTTTTTATGATATTTATTGCTTTTTTGACCAGTTTTCATACTTTTTTATGGTTTTCTACTGCAAAGTTGTTTTTTATAGAATTAAAATTAAAAATAATTTAAATAAAAAAATTTATTAAAATTTATTAAAAAATTATTTTTTTTCAACTATTTGTAAATATTGTTTACATTTTATTTTTCAGAAAATCCCTTGGAAAATCCATAAAATCCTCAGTCCTGAAAATGAAGTTTAATTTTTTTTATAATATAAAGATAAATTTTTATTTTTATTTTATTGTTTTTTTTTTAATAAATATTTTTGCTTAAATTTAAGTTTTTTAAATGCTTATTTGAGTGCTTATAATGATGTTTTTAAGTGCTTATTTAAGCGCTTATTTTAATGATTTTAAGTGCTTTAAGTCCCGAGCCCTGGTTATGACTATCGTTTATTAAGTCTTGTTTTTCCCGACCTGTTTAATGCTAGTCAAAGCTAAGTATGTACCTATAATAATTACGGTTGTTATTTTAATAAATTATTTGTATAAAGATAATTACAGAAAACATCAATGTTATTTACTCTTATTTTTTTTAATAAAACTCACTTTATAATAACAAAAAAAAATAGTACATCCATTTTTTGTAAAATTAACTACGTAACATTTAAGAATTACAAATATATAATCATCCAATTTTCCAAGTATATTTAGTTGCAATAGTATTAATTTATTTAATAAAAATAAAAACTTAAGTATTTTATGAATATTTAAGGTTTTAACTACAATATCTAATATTATAAAATTTGACTACCCATTTTTCTATATATTTATATATATAAGAGCCAAATTTAAATATAACACTTGTGTTTATGGAAAATCATTAATATTATAGTATTAATGATTATAATTGATTTAAAGCATTATATTAAAATCTTTATACCGGTCCAGTACATATTCAACAAAATAACAATGCAAGTGCGTACTTCATAATCATTTTATTAGAGGTATTTAAAGTTTAAACTTAAAAGTGTACGATTATAATATTTAAGACATGTTGAAACTTGAATAAAAAGTGAAAAATGTGTATTAAACCCTCTTGTAAAATATTACTGTTTCTAGATAAAAAAAAAACCCTCCACTTAAATGTTTATCTTTAAAAGTGTTTTATTATAAAACAATGCTTTATAATGGTATCGTATATTTTAAAATGTTAAAAACTATATGCTACAAGCATGTCGCTGCTTGATATGTAAAGCCCCGACCTGCTCGATATTTCAAGAGGCCTCTTATATGTACGCCCATGAAATAAGCTCCACGTTGTTAATGAATTTATTCATAATCAACTATTTTATGCTCGATTTTCTCAATTGAAGTACTTATACTGAAAATTGTTTTTGTAATTTTTAATTTCAAATAGGATTTTATTTTCAAAACACTCCAAGCATAATTCAGGATTTAGGGTAGAACGTCGGAAACTCCACATTTGACAGTTCTAATAGTTCCATAATAAATAATAATGTTTGTGATTTGTCGGTGTAAGTAGTAAGTAAACTTATATTTTTCATTTTATTGATTTTTAATATTTGTGTAAATGTTTTATAATATAATATATTACATAGGTACTATAAATAGGTTTTAGGTATAGGTACCTACATGGCTACATACAATATATCAAATAGACCAATGGGTAATAAGTAGGGCTCGGAACTTAATACACTTAAAAAGTACTAAATATGCATGCACTTATGCGCTTAAAAAAGTACAAATATGCTCTAAAAATATGCACTTATATTTAATTATTTTACACATTTTCATTTGTACAAATATTTTTTTTAAATTTGTAAATAAAAAAAAAAGCAAAGTAATATAAGTTGTTATTATTTATATTTTTTAATCATAATTTAAACAAAAAAATAATAAAAAAATCGCTTTAAAAATTAAAAATGTTCCTTGAATAAAAAAATGCACTTCTGTCGAGTTATATTTGTATACCTGAAATACCTAAAATCTATAAATGCCATTAACAATAGTCAATAATCATTGAGTTATTTTCCTATAAAAGTATTTATAGAAAATCGTCGTATTTCGATAGCAGCTGTTTCTATTTTAGATTTGTATAATATTCTATTTTAGATAAAGCTAGCTGTAGTTGTAATTTATATATATTATAATATTATATCATATTAACCAATAGAGGAAAAACATAGTTTTTAATGTCAAATGGAAATTTGAATAATACGATTCAAGAATATCTAGTAAGGTCTCTGAATATGAATGTATTTATTTTTTTATTTACAAATTTTCAGATTGAATATCCATAAATGATAAAATATGCTTTAAAAAATTGTAAAATTAAGAAATATGCTCTAAAATCTAAAAATCACTAAATATGCAAAAATATGCACTAAAAACTTTTGATATGTTTTTCGTAGTGTCTTGAAATGAATTTCTAGCTTACTTAGCAATAAATCTAATGGTTCAAAAAAATCATGCAAATGCAACAACTTCCGAGCCCTAGTAATAAGTAATAACTATAATAGCACAAACAATTGATATTGGCTAACGTATGTTAGGTATCTCAGTATCTGTTTAACAATACATAATACATAAGTTTTTTTTGTCTTGAAAGTAGTAAGCATTAACTATTCACACCATCCCACCTATTATTATACAGTCAATTTTTTTTTTCAAACATAAATTCCTCGATTTTAGTATTATCTATTGACTATTCCGTTTGAAATTATCAGACAAATCCCATTATATCCATTTATTCTAGCTATAAATACGTATTATAATTTGTAGGTACCTATATATTATTGCTTGGCTCCTGTTAGGATATGACACTTAAAAAATATTATCATATAAATTATAAACTAAAGTTACCAATATACAATTGTTAAGAGGACGCCACACCCGCATGTGTTGTCTCCGTCTTACAAATGTACAATATAGCAAAAACTCTTTTGCGAGGGACAACTTTTCTCGCACCATATTTGTTGTAGAACTACCAAATTTTCACAGCACTTAAAGAAGAACTTTATCTGTGAAACAGCGTGCTCTTTTTTTCAATAACATATATACAATACAAGTTATTTGCTTCTAAACATTTGGTTTTTTAATTTGCTTATAAAAAATGATTGGATGGTGCTATTGAAAAAAACAGCACGCTGTTGCACAGATAAAGTTCTTCTTTAAGTGCTGTGAAAATTTGGTAGTTCTACAACAAATATGGTGCGAGAAAAGTTGTCCCTCGCAAAAGAGTTTTTGCTATGTTGTACATTTGTAAACGGAGACAACACATGCGGGTGTGGCAAAGTACCTAGTAAGTAGTTGATAATATTTTATTTGAATGAGTGGTTTGAGCTATGTATTTTTAGTATATAATATAAAGAGTACCTATAGGTACGATAACGAGTGAATACTTAAAAGTAAACCGCAATATTCCTGTGACGCAAAAAATAATTATTATCATTTATTTCTAAAAAAAACAGTTTATTATACTTTATAGTGATTGTTCAGATATTATAATTATTTAAAAAAAGATCATCAGAAGTACATCTATATACGCATGTGAAGAACTGTTCAGAATACTACTGACTTTCATGTTATTGAAGGTTAGTTACACAATACACTATTATTTTTGTGTAGACTTATATAATCTCATATTTAGATCAAAACTGCTATATACTTAGTCAACCAGACAACTAATATTAAATATTATCGAATTCTTTGTTCTATTTTTGTAAGTTTAATTTAGATATTTTTGTGAAAACTATAAATGTTTTATTTTATGTTATTTGATAACAGTATACGTCAGTACTCAAGTACTGACCGAAGCCCAATGAATGAATATGTAATGCATAAGAAGTGAAAAATTTAACTAAAGGGCGTTATAGTACAAAATCATATATCACATGAAAAACTCTCTCATCCTGTAGAATAGTCGCAATTCGTTAATTTTTTTTTTTTTATTTAAAATAAGAGAAAATTTGCAGTGTCGGGTCTAAGCCCGATTTTAAAAATTATAATTATAGAAGCTAAAATATACATTTGAATAATGTATTTTTCAAAAGTATTTTTCTACCACTATTTAGAGTAAAATTAAAAACCTAACTAACCTAAAAAAAAATAAAATAAACGGAATCCGACTAATCTACAGAGCGTGAGAGTTTTTCCTGTGAAGTCATTTTCATTGATATAATACACCTTATCAACATTAATTGATTATGGTTCATTATGGAAAAGCAATGTAGGTAAATCAACCTCATCTGCCAGAAGTTTTCTAAAAAGTTTAAATTAGCAGCTTGTCTTCGATCTGAAATAAAATATAGGTTTAAAGCATTTTTGGACAAGAGAGTAGTCATGAGAAGGCCAGTAAATTTTGAGGATACCTATATGATAAAAAACGTAAAAATTTACCTTGAACTCTTTCCAACATTTGAGAGTCACTAGTGATAGATGGATTCCAAACGACAGATCCATATTCAATTACAGAGGGGTAACTAATGAACAAAAAAAAGAGTTTTTAATGAAGAATCAAAAACTTTGAGCGCTTTACAGAGTGTTTTCTCAATTTATAGAAGTTTTGGACATAAACAAAAAATATAAACAAAGTATTTAAAGTTACCCTTTATTTTCACAATAACTATCATGTTCTGGCGGCTTTGATGTGTGCTCCTTTTTCACGCCTTGTCGTGACGTCATTTATTTGTTATTGTTATCTAATTTACTAACTGCACACAGGTATTATAGTATAGATTCTATAGAGTATAGACTATGGACTATACTATATAGATTGTCGAGACAATTTTAAAATAATATTTAAAAAATGAGTATTATTTATGAAAATATTTACCAAGTGCCAAACACTAAATAATCGAGCAAACATTTCAAGTAATTGTATGTCCATTGTCCCTATCTTAAAATGAATACTTACATGGACCGAATACAGTACATAATATAGAGATTCGTTGAGAGAATAATTAAAAGTATTGACTTATAAGTTATAACAGACATAAAATACTTTCATTATAATATACTTGGAATACAACTCAAAACATGTAGTTTCAAATAAGTTACTCTGCTCAAATAGGTATATTATCATATAAACCAAAAACCTAAACATCTTTTAAAACTGTACATTTTGAATTCATTTATAATTTTAATTGTACTGTTATCTGAAAATGTCATGGTAAACTACATGTCTTATATAAATTAATTATTGCATTTAAATTAATTTAGTACTCAGAAGAACGAGTCAGAAGTGCAGAACTATTACGTAGGTTCACAAAATATAAACAAATGTTACGTATTCGTATAGTATATTTAGTTAAACTAAATGTTATTTCATATTGCCTACAGATTATTTAAATAATATATAAAAAAAACCTTTTAAATCCCAATGGCTTATGAAGTCGGCGGGTCACAATAAAAATTAATTTATAAATATTATATGTACGATGTGCCTACACAAAATGGATACTGTGAGGATGGATCTTTGACCGTACTACCGCCGTAGACATGTTTAACTATTTACTTTCTTTTTGACATTTCGTTTTAGTTTTTCAATATAAAACTCGTTATATATTGTTCTACGTTTTTCAAAAATTTGTTTTAATAATGAATAAAAATCTTGTATTATTTTCTTTTATCTTCTTAATTTCTCCTTGCATATAGTTGCAATGCTCAACAACAGTTAGTATCAATAACCAGAAATCTCGACTACAAATATACATATTTATGCCTACAGTTAAATAAAATAATAGATTTATCGAATTTTACTAACTTAGAATTTAAGGAACAACATTATTTTTATCTTTTCTAAAATATTTCAATGATATTAAATATATTTTCTCATTTATAAATGGGTTTTATATAATGTTAGTGGTACATAATGTATACTATAAAGCACTGAATAGTGAATAGTTACAAAAGCTTAGGTTAAATAAAACTGCAACAGTATTATCAATTTACCATTTACTCAATTATTATGTATTGTATTTTTTATACAGAAGTTAATAACATACTTTTAATTTCCGTTAAACAGGTTTGGTCGCTTACTGTGGCCGTTGCATGCCATAAGCTGGTCATCGCATTTTACGTCGGATTACAGATGCTTTCGGACAGGACGAAGCCATTGCTAGCGCACTGTTCAATATTGCTTTTTGCTGTCACGTCTCCGATAGGTATTGGCGTGGGCACTCTGGTCAGCAATCTCGAAGAAACAAACACTGTGGTCCTATTTTCAGTCGTTCTACAAGGATTAGCTACCGGCACTTTGATGTATGTGGTATTCTTTGAAGTGCTCAAACCGTCTGTTGGAAATTTACAAATTAAACAAAGAATATTAAGACTAATATTTATTGCTATTGGTTTTGTATCAATGCTTTCCATTCAATTGCTTATAACCGAATCAGAATAATATTTTCTCAACTAATTTACTTAGACCTGAACGAATGTATCCTTTTGTGTTAGATAGTTATATATGACTATTTTACATAAATTTGTCAATTTACCTACCTACCTTACGATTACCAATTTGACGTATGATATGTGTATTACTACCTATATATCATATAATTTATTCATAATACTATATATATATATATATCATATAATAGGTAATAATGTATTAATATATTATATTATACATCATGAAAAGTTGTAAAATGTGAATATACCAAGAAACTTATAGCTAAAAATAGTCGTAATGAAATAATAAGTCAAGTCTTAGTATTCAAATTTACAGAATAAAAATATACCTATAACACATTAACACGTGATCAATTATGAAATTGTAAAAGATTACTTTACTACAGAAAGATTGAAACTTGAAACTATTATTGACTAATTAAACTGTCTTGATTAAATATGTATTTAATAGGTATTCAAAAGATATTGCTAATAGAATCAAAATCATATCTTATCACTTGCCCGTATATAATTACGTTGAAACAGTTCATATATTTTATCAGTAGGTGTCCACTTCTTCAGATTGGTTCACATTTATATTCCATACGAGTTTTCTCAGTGGGGCCCAGTTTTCATTGCTTATGCAATTTAAATAAAATTACAAAATATCAAAAATACGTTAATCATAGGTATTTTTTTTTTACTATGTTTTTTACCTATATTCTTCTATTTATTGGTGTCTTTGCATCGGTCAGCGTACCTAAGTAACAGACAGCACTTAGTCATCATAAGCCCTATTCTTAGGGAGGATTGTTTTATATCTAAGTGAATAAGTAGGTAGTGGGTGAATTGTAAACGTAGTTCGATAAATAACAAAATATCAAAGTAAAAAATTATTAAAATTAAAGGAAGGAACAAATTTAGAATAACGAAATATATTTTCGAAAATATTTACAATGACTTGTGGCGTATTATTTTAAATGAATACATTTTTTTTTTTTGTCTTATTGTAATCAATAAGAAGTTGTTATACAGTCTATATGCTATATTGATATATATAGGATATAACCTTTATAAGTAATATGTTTTTAATTAAGCACTATATAAAGTTAAGTATTAACTAAATTATTAATTGTAATATAATGACTAATATATATTTTAATTTAGATTATATTCATATATTTTATAATTTTTCTAAATGGTCAATTTGATATTTTAAAAAATATTTAACTTTTTTAAAAATAAAAACCTCTGTACCTACTGTGAGTTTTATGAAAACACGATACTAAGCAAATCTATAGATACAAGGACCTATATAAAACATAAGTGTATTGCAATAGTGATTTTATACTTTTATGTATTATTCTATTACAAATTCACTGAATAAATACCGAATTATATTGACTTATATTCATAGGACTATATAAAAATAATATAAAAATAATTATAATATGACATGAGTGTTTTGTTTATAAAATGTATTATTTGGGACTGTGTACTCGGTAAAATATATAAACTAATTAAGGGGATCGGTGGCGGCGTATATTTAAGGAGTTCAGTATAGGCAATATTTATAGTGCGTGCGTGTGTGACTTGAGACTGTGTGTGTAGTAAATGATTATTAGTGTGTGTACGTGTCCCCGCACCGTACCCTGTTTACCGAGGCATGCGATAAGGATAACCGATGGTTTCGAAGAATCACCTACGCACGCGGCACGCGCAGGCACAAGTCACCACCGCGTTGTCCCGCGCGTGAACAATCCAGAACGTGTGTTTTATTTGATTAAAACTATGTACCTTATGTCAATCCTACAGATTGATCTAATAATGCGATAATATTTCAGAAAACTAATCTGAATTCGTTATGATGTCGACTTGAGATCGGTCAGTCCACATTTTAAGATTTTTGATTTTAATTCCGAAAAATTAACGTTTGAAAATTCCTAAAATTTAAAATATTCAAACCAAATTTATAGGAGTTGGGGGGTTAAATTTGGAAAAGTGGACTGACCGATCTCAAGTAGACATAATCACAAATTCAAATCAGTTTTAAAAAGTATTATCGCATTTCTAGGTCGATCAGTACGATTGACAAAAGACTGGTATCTTTTGGCTAAAATAACTGATCGCCACCAATCCCCTTAAGTACAATACTAAACTAAACAGTAAGTAGTTAATAGTTTATAGCTTATACCGAGATAAGATAATATTGTATTATACTAATAATTACTAATTACATATGTAAAAGTTGATATTTGTGTTTTTATTTTAAATAAATGTTTGTTGATTTTTGGAAATTGCTTTAAATATTATACGACAGAATTATAAAATACCTAACCTATAGGTTATAACTTATAGGTACTTTTACAATTTATAGTATATAATATAGTATATACATAGTCATAGTTATTAAAAGCTATAACTCAAAATCTAACTTTTATTTTTTAGACTTAAAATATATTCTGCAGGACATAACATTTACTATGTTATGGCATTAGTATGAAAAAGTCACGGAAACAACACATGTGACTATGCTAGTACGACGCCCTCTCAACTATTGTTGTTATTTGATATTTTGATATATTATTTAGTAGTAAAAACATTTGAAGGACAACTACTACAGACACATGTCACGTGTATTATCTTTATTTTAAAAATACCCATATTTGAACAAATATTGTCTAGGAGTGAAAAAATCATTAAAAACAAGCAGGCAAGATAGATTCCCTATAGCTATAACTCACATAAATACATCATATTATTGCTGTATGTATAGTATACTAACAAGTAACAACTATATTATAATAGATAATTAGTATCATAAAATACTAATAAAAAATAACTACCTAGTACTAATAACTTTTTATTGTTAAAAAAATATAATAAACCAATATACCTACTATACACTATACAGTATACAATATTGAATATAGGTACATAATATAATATAAATAATATAATATTTATATTATATTAGTATTTATACTTGGTATATCTATTTGTACCTCTTTAGGTTTATCGTATACCGTGTGTCCGTGAAAACAGGGTACACTCTATAATTCAATTATCCGCATTACTCAGTAATCAGTACCCTATACTGCATATTTTTGAAATCTATTGACTATAGGATAGACTAGAGGATCATCAATCTTCCACAGATAGAAGTCTAAAATATGTAGTATATGGTATAATATTGGTACTGAGTAAATGAGTAATGTAGGAAACTTAGTTATAAAGTGTACATAGGTACCCAGTTTTCACGTATACACGGTATACCTGCTTACCTAAACATAAGCTTATGGATATAATGATATATATATTATATACAGTTAATATATACATAAAATAAAAACAGTGAACTATGAAAATTTACTGTGGTCATAAAAATGAATATTTTATTTTAAGGTACTATTACCATTATATAATTATTAACAAACTATTAATAAGGATTATTAATAGATTTCATATGCATGTTTTTTTTATTATTATTCACTAATTAGAAGCTCATAAAAATATTTGTGGAATTCAGCTCAACTTTTTTTATAGTTATTGTAAAAAAGTATATAGAACCTTACAAACAAGATCCAATTTGCCACCAGAAACCACCCTTAAAGTTGAAGATCAAAGTATTTTTTGAAAAGGTGATAACAGACAAAAATTTAAAAAAATATCATTGTAAAATGAATACATTTATCAGAAACTAAAAATTAAAATATATATTATAAGCCAATGTAATTATACAATATATTATTACATATTTATAGTATATACCGGTATATACCGGTTGTATAAAGTGATTAGTAAGAATATGAAAAAACTGCTAACTTTACATCATTGTTGTATTTATAGATTTTTCAGGACTTATAGCATTAATAATGTTTGAAATATTCATGCGAATATGAAATTAAAATTACTGACAAATACTTTAAAATATTATGCAGATCATTTTTCTATTTATTTAATAAATTATATGAACAAAAATAAAATTGAAATAAATAGAGAAGATTGCCGAACGAGGGTTCCAGATAATCTGGTTCTGCTGTGAAGAGTACCATCGTGATGGCCGACGGGACTCTTGGCTGGCCTAGTTCTCCAAACCAAGCCGGGAAGATGCAAATAATATTTGAATACTTATTTGAAATATTATATTTTAAAAAATTTGTAATAGGTTTGTATATAATGGTAGACTGACCTGTACATGCCCACACTGGTTCTATATTGTTAATTATCATTATATATATTTATCGATAAACAGTGACAAAAGTGAGATTGGGGTAGTAACGTCCATGTAGATCCCCCACTGTCGTTGGTTAAAATGGAAAAGAGAAAAGAAAAATCTAGAATTTTCCATAGTCATGCCTCCCCTCCTGCATAATCTTCTGAGTGTCAGATGCTGTGTAGGATGGCCATATCATTTTTCCGCATGAAAAAGACTAAAGCGTTAGGTACAGGGCAAAGAGGTAATTCGTAGCACAAAGATCCCGGAGTGTCACCTAGAACACCTAACGATCTATTGACTATATTAGATAAAGTCAACACGATGATGGAAGTTAAGGGATGGGAATGGGATGTATAGAAACCTTAGGGCTTAGATCTTTAAGATCTTTTACTTGGATCACGTATGGTTTATTGACGGTCCGTCTAATTTCCCCACCGAAGAGTAAAATGCATTACCGCCTGTCGCCTGTCCGCCTACTAGGTACTTATTGATAAATTACACGTCATATTTTTAAAATTGACACTATAAAATAATATAATATTTATAGCTGGATTATTTGAATTTATTATCTTATATTTAGTCTGTTGCGATAGACATTAGTCAATATTATACAGTGCAAATATACACAAAATGCAGGAAGACTAGAATATTCTAGTCTTACAAAACAATATTTTTATGGCTTTAAATTTAAATATTTGAAACCACAGTTTTCGTGGAAGGAGCGTCGAGTGCAGACGAACAATATTGCGATGAGCATGAGACATGTATTGCAAAGTGTAATTTATTATGAAGCTGCAAGTAACATCTTTAAAAGTTTAAAAGTATATAAAAATGTCTACCTATTATAGTTTCTAAACAACTGCTTTTAGAAAAAAAAGCCTGTACAAATGAGAAGAAAAATGTGCTTTTTGGGAAACCCGTAAACCTATTTTAAAACCTTGAACTCAGTTTACCTTAAAACTTTTCAAACCCGGCACTCAGTTTACCTTAAATCTTTTCAAATCTGGGACTCAGTCACCACTAAAAAACTGTTTCGGACTCAATTTACCTAGCCCCCTTTGTATGTGTAGAACTCAGTTCCGAATTTTGACGTCCGAGGCTAATAAAAATGCAGCACCCTTGCGTAGTTGGAAGTACGGGGTGTGCCGGGTGTCAACACAAAACAAGATATTGAAATACAAATCAAGAAGTATATTTTTATATTACAAATATTTTTATAGAAACTATTGTTTTCGTATATAGGTACCGTAGTGTATACGCAAAAACTGGGTACACTCTATAACTCACTTACCTACATTACTCAATACCTACCTTATACATATTTTAGAACTCTATCAGCGTTAGATTGATGATCCAATAGTCTAGTTTCATGACATATAATTTTCCCCAATAACATTTTTTGGATTATAATAATATTATGTACAACTGAAAATTTACAATAAAATTACCACGAATGAATTAATATTGGTCAAATCGTCAAGTTTTCATGATTATTATTTTAAATAATTATTATAATAGAATAAACTAAATGTATTTATGTACTAAGTAATGAGTTTACGGTAATTGTTTATATTTTTTATTCAAAGCTCAATGTTTGCTCAATTACTACCTGAACATTTAAAACATAAGTAATGACATTTTTATAATAACTCAAGAGTTCAAAACAAAATGTTTTAAATATCCCAGCCCTGATTAAATGTATTAAACTTAAATAAAATATATAATTTAATTTGACAAGTGTTAAAATTGCTTGGGGGACGGAGTGGCCGAGCGGACTAAAGCGTCGGTTGCCGAACTCGGCCACTGGCTACATTTTTTATCGGGCAGTCACGGTGTCTGCAGAGAGAGAGGCCGCCATCCCTGACCCGGGCAAGGTAGATACCTACGGGTGGCCACTTAAAAATGTCTGCCAAAACAAACACACTCGTGTTCAAAATCTACAGTACCCTCCACCACAGTACCACAGGCTAATGACCTCAGTTGTCGAAGCGAAAGGTTGCCACCTTTAACACCGGCCAAGTGCGCTCAGATACATACTCGTGTCACCTACGAATTACGAGAGTTGACATCGGCGTCCAACGTGTTAAATAACGAATGACTGTGTAATACCTATTATTATTTTTTGGAAATATGTATAATTTATACATATTTTATGTTCGTTTTTTTTATTTTTCATAAACTTAAGAGCGCCTGAACGCCCTTATACCAACTTACAGTGCCCGGGGACAAGGATACCCACTTGTCTCCCACCCCCAGATCCGGCACTGAGGTAGGTAATAATAAATCGTATGTATTGTAATTGTAGTTTATACAATTTTGTGGCACTGGTAGCCGGTAGGTACATGAAAATACTATAAAGTAATAAAGTATAAACGACCGTTTATAGTATTTGGTACATGGTGTCATGGCAGGTATATATTATAAATTATAATAAACAAAAATACAAAATATATAGGACATAGGTATTATGAACATTTTTTTTTTTTTTATTTGCAAATAAGTAATATACAATCTGTACCAAATGACACAATAAGCATATAGGCTCAGAGTAAAAATATGACATGATAAAAATTGAAGAAAGAAGCCACCCATTGGCGACACTTTCACAGGAGAGAAATATTATGAACATAAAATAATAACATAGATTAAGATTTATTATTATAATTAATATAATAACAGAATTATTAAAATTGTAATTTATTTTCTGCATAAAACTAACTGAACAAATATAAATTAATTTTGTTTTTAGGTTTGAAATTTGAATAATGTAGGACGGGTAGGTTCTATCTATTGACGGTAGGTACCTATTTAGAAATTAGGTGACCTCATAAGTTTTTATGTAGGTACTAGGTAGGTAGGTCGTAGGTATAACAAATGCTTGGAAAAATTATTTAAGATTACAAAACTAACAAAAATATAGAATTCTGGTAAATTAAAATTTGAATATTTAAAACGTTATTTTAATAATTTATTTTGCTTATTTTACATTTTTCCCTTAGAGTTTTGTATTCACCCCATACACCCCTAACTCAACAAGCTATAATCAGTATACGCCAAAGCGGTGTAGGTCAGCACCTACAACGAATCACGTTTGTTGGAGCCTCGTTATGAATTATTAATTAACGACTATACTACTTGTCAACTTATGTTATTAATTATTATCGTCGTCCGAATACAAAGAACACGTTCCGTTGCAAAACGGTCTTCGGGACTTGTGTCTGTACATTGCATTTTCTCATCACACTGCTCAGCTTGCCGAGCTCGGCACTGGCTAGTGGCTACGAAATAATTGCAATTTAAAATACGTCATCGCGTACGTCACGAGTACTATCATCGACTGGCGGTGGTAACAACGACTACAGAACTACAGTAATAATAATAACAACAAAAACGTACTATCGTAGTCGACGGACCACGACGACCTGTGCGCACCGGCGGCGCCAGCAGCAGGGCAACCGATTCGCAACGCCGAGCCGCCCGAAAACGTTGGTCCGGCGGCGGCACGGTAGATTCGCACGATCAGGACTCTGAGATTAAAACGCGGTAAAGTAAACAAACAAACAAAAAAACAACAAAACAACAAAACACGAAACGACGCGACACGACCGTCCGTAACAATACGAAACGCCGCAACACTTTTTAACGGTCATACTGGAGACGCGCTGCAGTCGACCTCGGGTGAATGTTTTTCGTATTCACGCTGTCGCCGATCTACAACAAGAACAGTGGTGGTTGCAGTGCTACGGGTGCATTTTGTGGGCTAGGTACAGGCGGTTATTATGTCCCAGAAGGTATTCAAAGAGCACTCCGAGTTGTTTCCGATCCGAGACGTACCCGCTGTGGTGGACGTGTTCCGCAAGGAGCTGGAAAAAAAAGAACCGGACCTGTTGCTGCTGTCGCTGGTGGCTGGCGCCATCGAGAACACGATGACTTGCGTCCGACCGACCACCGAAATGCCGATCGTCGTGACGGCTGAAACCAACTTTGACTTTGATCAGGTACCACTGAGGCTACCCGACGTCGAGCTGCACATTGTGGAAGCTCTGTACACGAAATTCTACTCGCTCATCAAGAGCAGCGTCGACCCTCTGCATTTTGACGACCGAGACGGACATGCCAGCCGAGAACTTGTGAAAAGGGTGTCCGACGTCATATGGAACACGCTTACTAGAAGTTACTATAAAGACAGGGCACATTTGCAAAGCATGTATAGCTATTTAACAGGTGAGTGAAAATCTTTTAAACACTATAGGCACTATCCCCAACAAATATGTTATCATGTATAATATTTTTGTTTAGGTTCAAAATTGGACTGTTTTGGTGTTGCGTTTGCTGTAGTAGCTGCTTGCCAAATACTCGGTTACAATGATGTTCATTTGGCTTTGTCTGAAGACCATGCATGGGTTGTATTTGGTCCAGATGGTAGTGAAAACGCAGAAGTTACGTGGCATGGTAATTTTTTATGATACCAATATTATATTTAAGTATTTTTAGAAACATTATTCTTTTATATAATGATTGCTTAGTATGAACATTAATGATTTAAATAGTTTTTATCAGTAAAAGTAATTACAAAAGAAATGTTATATTTAAAATGATATGCTTAAAATAAAGTTCTGTAATGCTTTTTTATTGTCATGTGGTTATGGACTTTTTTAAGTTATAAAAAATGTAATCATAATTTTGATCTTAAACGTGAATACACAATAACTCCACCAGACATTGTATCGGTGGCGGCTACTTGCTAGCTTGTATGGGGTATAAGTAGTAGTGTGTGTGTATGTAGATGACCTTCATTATTGTGTCAGATGCATTGGTAGCGATTATGTGTTAATTAATTTGTCAAAAGTATGTTATGAATTTTTAATATATATAATAATTAATTTGACCAAGTGTTTAATTTCAGGAAAGGGAAATGAAGATAAACGTGGACAAAAAATTAAAGATTCAGGACCTGGTCATAGGTCATGGCTATATGTTAATGGCCACCCCGTAGTTTGTAATAGGCATATGGAAGTATCAGCATTAGTTAGCTCTATTAACCCAAGTATTAACCAATCTAATGACGCATTGGAAGTCGCCACTCTTCAAAAAAATCTTTTGTGGCTTCTTTACGATGAAGGTCACTTATCAAAATTTCCACTTGCTTTAGGTAATTTCGAACTTGAATTTATTGGTACATGATTCAACATATAAATTACTGTTCCCCAGGTAACTTAGGTGATTTGGAAGAGTTAAATGCAACACCTGGAAGACCTCCTTGTACAGCCTTATTTGAAGAAGCTATTTCAGCTGCTCGAATATACTACAGTGATATGTTTGTCTATCCATATACTTACCAAGGTGGATATTTCTATAGACACAACATGATTAAAGACGCTTTTGCAAGTTGGGCCAACGCTAGTCAAGTTATAAGCAAGTAAGATAAATTATGACTATACTATTACTTTGAACTTCCTTAATAATAATTGATTAATTCAGTCGATTTTTTAATGATTACGTTTTAGGTATAGTTTTAGTAAAGATGATGAAGAATTATATAAAGAAATGATGGATATTGCTTATGAATTAATACCATACTCATTGAAAGAAATGACATGTGGCAAAAGTCGTTCAATATTGAATAACCCACAATGTTATGCGTATGTGTTATTAATTTATGATGGTCTTTGTCTTTGGGAAGAAGATGGAACAACTCCAGTATTACACATTAAATGGGCAAAACATTTTATAAATTCCATTTCTAAGTTTGATGATAGTGTGAGAACAAGACTTATCATATTAGAACCAAAAGTACGGCATATTGTTTCTAAATTATCTTAATTATAATTATTTTGTATCAACAGAATAACATAAAAAAAAGTATTCCATAAAAGGTTTTCTGTACATTTTAAATAAGAATGTATTTTTTTATTTTATATTTAATTTTACTATAACGGTTTTAGGATTCTGAAAATGATAGTGGTGTATTACAAGATTATCATGATACTAACATGAATAATAATAATCGTCCACTGCCTAAAGTAATTTTAAATACTATTCCTGGCACAGAAGAAGAAACTAAATCAGAACTCCACCCTGGTATTGAAGCACTAACTGCAGCTTGTAGCGAGCGAATATTGAATCGAGAATTCTTATTACAAGGTGGCGGAGAACCTTTTGTGGGTAGTTCTGATGAATTACCTACTCCTACTAGTACACCTCAAGCACCTATTTTAGAAACAACATTAAAAGATGATGAACCTGAAACTAAAATTGAGTTGAAAAGTAAGAAGATGAGAAGCATGAAAGATCTACTAATTGCAAAGAAATTAAATACACAAGCAATAAGTTTACAAATGAGTGCTCAGTCTCAAGGGGGAAAACGTCATGCACCTAGAGATAATGCAGAACCAATATCCAGGCGGAGTAGAAGAAATAACAACTAATTAAATGTATACTATAAATGCATTAAACGTAAGTGCAATTTTTTCTTTCAAAAATAATTTACTTTATTTTATACTGAAATACTTTCATTATGTTACTTATATTTTAGGAGTTTAAATTCTTTACTATGAATCATAGTTGAGATCAGTATTTTATTTAGAATCTCTTATTTAAGATACTTAATCTACATATTATATATATTTCAAAAAAACATAGGTATTAATAATTTTAAAAGTTATTATAATAAATAATAATAATGTTAATAATTTAACAGTAAAATTAGTTGATAATGATAAAATGTTGAATTTGATAAAGTGATTAATTAGTGTTACCATAAAAAAAAATATATTTAAAAATACTAAATTTAAAATTAGTAAAATCCTAAATTTTTGTGATTTAAAATTTAACTTGTATTTTGCATGACAAATATATAAGTTAAAGGTATAGAGTATAGACTAGACTGTGCTATAATGTTTTCTATTGAATACAAATTGTACAGTAGCGCAACCAAGCAATAAGGATATTATATTGCAATGATTTAATTAAAAGAAAGCTCTAAATTATTTTGATTGTTTGAAATTCAATAATTTCTGATGCTTTTTATACAAATACAAATATCTTTGAAGTATAATTTATGATAAAAGTCAAAATAAAAATTAGAAACTTATTTTACTCATAAAATTCTTTAAGATACTTGCTGTTGCACAGTGAATGGTATCTTTACTATGGAAAAATTAAATTTTTTATTTTATACATTGATCATATTAAGTAAATTATAGACTTAAAATAACTGTACCTATTAAATATTTAAATATAGCCTATAGGTTATAAATTAAAAAACTTACAAAAAATAACATTATTCGTCTTAACAAACTATCAAACCCCATAAACACAAATACATCTTCAATTTAATTTTAGTACTTAATTCTATCTGACACCTTCCTTAGAAATTTCTGGTTGCGTTACTTATACACTTGTTCAACTTCTATATTTTCACATTGTATACTGTTGTTTACTTTTAGGTACTTCTATTTAAATATCTTATGACTCTAAGTCACCATTGTAAAATTAAAACTACTTCTATAAAAATATAATCAGTGGCGGCATGAACTTTTTTTTCCTATGACGCAACTACTTTAAATAAGTACTCACACATCATCAAATTTTCACATTTTACACTCATCTTTTCACACATTTTAAACGCAGGTCATATGTGACTATATGAGTATAAATTATAACTAGTCTAGCCGTCTAGGTCTTGAAAACTGGAGTCATTGTGAATTGTAATACCACATTTACATGAGGTGGCTGCCTCATCAAATTCACGCTTCCACTGAATATTATAGTATACTACAATAGTAGACACTTTGAAATTTTGTTAGATTCACAACTACAGCAATGGCCATAAAGTGTAATAATATTTAATACATTTTAAAACAAACTTATAAATAATTACTTTAATTTAAGTATACAAGATAAATACAATATTATTACAATACTTATTCAATAACTTAGTATAATAAAAAAACACAAGTTTAAAAAAAACTTAAATTAATTATACTTCTAAAAAATTAAGTGACTTATAATTATAAATTATTTTTTATCTACTATTGTATTTATCTGAGTACAGAAAAGTTCGAAAACTATATAGTACTGAACTATAAATATATTTCCATAACATTTTTATGAAATTATTGTTGTTTGTGTTTACTTGCCAATAAGTTCCGATTTGTATTTAATAGTTAGTAATTAGTATAGTAGTTATTTATAAAAATAGTCATAGGCATAACTAAGAATCTGCTTTGACTGCTCTAAATCTTACCTAAGCTCTCACAAAATGTATGATTAATAATCATATTGTAAACTTCCAAAACAATGAAAATGTAAATGTTTAGCCTCTACCTTTAATAATTATATAGTTACACCTATTAATATAGGTAATCTGTATAATTACAAAAAGTAATTTTATCATTCCAGCTCCCAAATTAGTATTAATATTACAGGGTTCGCATTATACGTTTTGAATTTACTATACTGAAAATGTGACATAACTGTTATAGTTATGCTTATGACTTATGAGCAATCTTAAAATGTGATCTTCAATTAATGAGATCTGTATGTTTTTAAGGGTTTAGTAACCTGTGATAATGAAATAACCATTTTATAATTTGTATTTATAAATATTTTTACAATTCTTCATGTTATTCTTTGTCCAATTGTAATTGTATACAATATCTCCTTATCTTAACATTTTTTTTTCTTAAACTTCTCAACTTTTTTTGTTGAATAATTCTTATCTTTCTGTTTATCGTTTATTTCTTATTTCTAACTGTTATATTTATATTTCAAAAATAGTCTTGATCATAAATAATTTTGTTTCCATTTTCTTATGGTTTTTTGAAAATACTTTATAATTAATTAATAGTATCTTAAGTTAGTAGGAACTAGTCAAACTAGCATATTGCAGTACAATAAAAAACCTGTAGTTTCTTAAAATCCAATCCAACAATAGTTGTATGTAAGGGAGGTTGGCAATTGAGAATAAATAATTTTTCTGGTTGTATTATATATTCATATCTAATGTAATATCTGTTATTATAAGAATATCCATTCATATTCATTCATTTTCAATAATACATTTGATCAAAATATGGTTTTCAGAATTCTTAAGTATATTCAAGATTAAATTTTTTATACCATTTAAAGAGGTTGTAGTGGTCACGTGGTGATACAAATTTTTTTTTTCCGCATATGAACCCATCTTTTTTACAGTAAATTGTCTTAAAAGATTTTTTTTAAAAATGTTGTGATTTAAATCAGAATTGGAATAAGTGTAATTTCAATTAAAAAAAGGACATGCAAAAAAAATCCCTTCATCCCCCCCCCTAAAAACCGTCACTGCTATACATCAGGGGTGGCCAGCGATAAGAATCGGGAGCCGCACAGTTTAATGACATATATGTACATACAGCCAAAGACAGGGAAAAAAAGTTTTCCATTATCATAAATAAGATAATATCAAATTCAATAAAATATGTTCAGTGCAAAACAATAAAAATAACGTTCAATAATGTCTTAATATTATTATATCTATTATTATCAGTGCCGTAACTAGGCTACTTGAGGCCTGTGTGCAAAACCAAAATATTGAGGCCCCTTATTATCTTTTTCAATACACACCTCAAAAACTTTTTTTGCAATTTTATAAGTTAGCAGTCAAAAATTCACGAATTTAACCGTGGGCTTAAACAAAAAAAAATTTTTAATTTAAAATAATCTATAATTTTAAAACAATTTCTCAAGACTATAACTAACTCAAAAAAGTAAAAATTTTCCAAAATGTAATTTATTGAAAATATTAATATAAATATTTGGTGAAAACTTCAATGGTCTACAGTTACCTATTAGTTTTCGAGTTATACCAAAAAATAAAATTTTTGTTTTGGGTAAAAATGATTTTTTTTTTTTATTGACGCTTTTTTATATCTAAAACTAAAAATTTCGGTTTCGATCTCCCAAAAGTACCAACTAGATTCACTTTTCTAACAGAAAAAATGCTGATCTCGAAATTCGGAATATTTTTACTACCCAATGTTGATGACCGACAGAAATGAAAAAATTATACACATCTTGTAAAATCAATACATTTGTTCGTTCCTCTCAAAATCTAAAAACAGTGATCACGACTCGATGCTATATAAAAAAAATGAAATAACATTGGTTTCGTTTCCAAATTAATAATAAATAATTTATATATTTTAATAATTTTATATTAGTTTAATATTAGTCTTTAGATATTTTGAGGCCCTTCGATATATTATGAGGCCCGAGGCCTGTGTGCTTTGCACACCCGGTTTTTACGGCACTGATTATTATATTAGTTAAAGTGTTTAGTGTCTTACGATGAGACTTGGTTTGGCCAACCCTGATATGTATAAGCAATAAACTTATGTAATTGCTTATATTACTATTATTCACAATGGTGCGAAGGGTCACTTGAACGGACAATCCAATAGCTCTAAACCCGGCAACATATATAATTTAATTTAATCCTTTGTTCAGTTACCATTATTTTTCTTAAATTTTATGAGAATTATGGCTAAAGTGTAATTGTTATATTAAAAAAATAAAAATAAAAATAGCCAAGCCTGGGGGTGAGGCATTGCTTCTCCTCTTAAACCTGCCCTTACCTTACCATCAAAATATTCAATATTTTTTAAGACTTAATTTTGTTATACCAATATATCAAACAATTTTATTATTTATATGTTACTCTTGAAGATCATTGAAATTTTAAACTCTTCAATGATAATGTTATATGCAATAATCTTTTTATTGCCTATTGTTTGGCGTATCAGTTATGTTTTAACTTGTTAATTTTTTTTTTAACGATAATACTTAATTTTAAATACATATGATATATATATATATATTTTTGTAAGATGAAATTTTGAAACTAGTCCTTGCAGTTATTATTTAACTTTACGTCCCAAATTTTTTGTTTACCAATATTTATGAAAAATGTATCTTAACATTACCTAAAAAAAATTGTTAAATATTTTTAAATGTTTTATTTCATGACAATAGCTGTAAGCTATTAAAAAATGTAGTGATTTGTTCTATATTCTATGTAATTCAAATACTATTTTTACCATTAAAATAATTATAATTGTATTTATTAAATTGTAATCATTGAGCTGTACTGATATATAAATATAAGATGGTTAATATTAAAAATAATTTAAAAGTAAATAATATTTAAACAAAGCTTTGATTTTAATAATTTTATATAGTTAAATAGTAACGCATATCTTTATTATTAATATTTTTTAGCAGTAATTAGATTTCATAATTAAATATTGTATGTTATCTCTAATGATTTGTTAATATTGTAATGTTAGTTCTCTCCATTTTTGCAAATTTTATGCAAACGTATGCTAATAAAACCATTTGAAATATGTTTTTTTTTAAACTTTACTTTTAAAATTGATTTTTGTATACAATTTTGTAATATCACAGCAACCAATATTAGTACAGACTTTGTATTTCAATTACCTCTTGTAAATTCCTTTGAAATAGTATTAATCTACATTTAATTTTTCTAAAATGTTTAAAATCGGCTTTATCAAACCTTTAAAATACTTATGCTGACATACTGACATACAAAAGTTCTGCTTTTAAACTATAATCTAAAAAAATAGTTTGTTATTCAATAAAATATAAAATTATTGATTACAATTGCAATGTTCTTCTTAAATTAAAATGCATGAAAAAAAAAAACCAAAATGTTCTTGAAATAATATGTTATAGCACAACATTTACATTTTAAAGGATTGATGGCCAATTGAATTATTTCTTTACATATTATTTATTTTATTCTTGTTTAACTACTGTCTGTTATTTAACGTAATTACAGTTTATTTTATACAGTATTTTTTTTATAACATTAAATAATGAAAATAAAAATATTAGTTGCGATTGTTAACAGTATCCAATATGTTAATTGTCTTCCGTATATTATTTGTATGTATTAAATTATTTAAAGCATTAAGTCGGCGTAAATAGTGTTTGAAATTTGAGGAGGCTGAAGCTCAGGTCTATACTTGAAACTCTTATGATGCTTTTAAATTATAGAAGTAAAGTCATAGTTTTTGGAGGGGCTAAAGCTCCCTAGCCCCCTCCTATTTGCGCCTATGATTAAGTTGATAACAAATTGTCTATAATATATTTTTATTTCTATTAGATCAAGTTTTAGGAAGGCAACATTATAAGATTCTGCAATATAAAAATATAACAGTACAGGTAAAAATAACAACAAATGTTTTAGAATATATTATATAATATGTGGAAAAATATATATAACTTTTTTATGTTTAATTATACACATCACAATGTTATATACCCTAGTGTTATTTATAAGAACTATTATACATATTAAACCTAAGTTTGGTTAATTTTACAATTTTTAATTTTCATTCATGATACATTAAAGATAATGGTGATTACGTTGCTTTTGAAAATATTTTATTTTTCATAAATAACTTTGTTTCAGTATTTGGTTAAGTTTTCAGTATTATATGGAAACGTTAAGCTAGTTATTATGAATATTTGTTATGAAAAATCTCGTCTATGTTTATTTAGGATTGGGTATATTTACTTCAATTTATTGTTCTCCGTAGTTTTTTTTTTTTTTTTTGCTTTACTGTTTGTTTTATTATTACTATTAAATAACATTAATTATACCTATTCTTGATAAAATAAAATGTATGACATTGTGCTTTGAAGTTGAACATATTTTTATTTTAAACCAAATATAAATCTATCCTAAATCCTTTTAAACCAACAATGGGATTATCAGTTTTATGGTATTAAAACAAAATAAGTTTAGAAATGATTAATGGAATTAATATATACTAGATTATAATAAGTTAAAGGACATCACAACACTAAAAACAAGTTTGCTTAGATTTAAACTACGTCATTATCTAATATATTATGGGTCTCACACTTTATACAGTTCCAGGCAATTGAAAATATGTGTTTGACGTCACAGAGCCGAAGTCTGAACGGTGGCATGCGTAAGTTTTACGTGTAAAAGTGTCTAGATTAATACAATTTCAATCGAGGTAATATTATTTTCTTTTTTTATGTAATTTTAAGTGTTTTTTTGTGTTTATGATACTGGTGTGATAATAATTTTGATATACTTTTAAGTTTTTTCATAGTTGATAAAACTACTATAGTCATTTTTGGTTTGTACGGAAGTAAGACGCGAGTCGCAAACTCAATAATTTTACTTAATTATAATTTATAATGTTATCCATACAAAAACAAGATACATATATTAAATTTACAATTACACTATAGTCTTAAGCACATAATTTTACTTGGGATTATGAAAAAAAAGTTCTATAATACAATCATACATTATTAAAACCATGGTGTAAATCAAACTACTTTTAAAAGTAAAACTTTGGTGGCTGCTCATTCGTTGGTTTATGACGTCACGAGGCATTCACTTGTTGAAAAATAATTTTTTTAACTTTGGATTTTTACCAAATTTCTTTTCATTATTTTGACTACAATAATATACTAATAAACTTACAATTTAAAAAAAAAATGTAGTGTGGTGATGTCCATTAAGAATATAAAGGTAATTTTTTTTTTAAATTATAACAACAAACTTAATATGTTTTATCATTAATTTTATTAACACTTCTTAACATTAGATCACATAAAATATTTCTATATAACAGTTTAGTTAATATTTTATTTAATTTTGCCCATTTTGGTTTAATTAAATTATAATAGTGAATACTAACTAATATTCAATCAAATAAACAATTATTTATATCATAGAATTCTAGACTGATAAAATTCTGTTTCAATGCGTACACACAATTGAACTAGATTGTCATAAGCTCTGACAGTAGCAGCAAATCGATTGTTTAATAGTGGTGTTGTTATGATGGAAAACAAATGACCAAATACTAAAGCGTCCAACTCAGTCGGCCTGAAAAATATTTCATTAATAAAATAAATATTTCTTACATAAATAAATAATAATTTACTTTTCATAAAAAAAGTATTTCTTGTCCCCCAAAAAGTTTGACAATGACTCGCAGATTCTTTCCACTTCCTTAAATACTTCATCCAAAGATTTTTTTTTCCAACCTAACACATCTAAATGTGATAACATTTCACGGCGCTTATTATATGTAGCCCAGTGGTTCAATGGGAAAGGATAAACGGAACTGTATCTTGGCTTGGTGAGTTCTTTATAAGTAAGCTCGTGGTTCCATGTTACATAAATCTAAATATAATTAAAATTATTTAATTGTTCCTAAAATAATATGCCGCAAACTAACCTCAGCATTTAAAAGAACATTATTCACTAGTGCCATGTACACTCTTAGATCCCACTTTTGAGTTTCATCTAAACTTGTTGATAGCGAATAACCCTGGATATAAATGTATTAACATTTAATTAAACTGAATATTTGAAATAATTATTTATCTCACTTTAGATTGAGCAAAACTGACGATTGGTTCAAAGTCAGCAACTAAAAACTGGCCTGCTTTAATGAACGGCACTTTACCTCGATGTGGTGACATATATTCGGCATTTTCTCTGGCTTCCACAATGAATTCTAATCCAGCCATTTTTAAAAATGTTTTAACCGATAAACATTTTGAGTTGTCAGGTAATAGGATTTGTTCTGTTTCATAAGGCTGGTATATTACTGTATTTTTTGGCCACTCGCCTTCACCTGTTTAAAAATGAGGTAAACTCATGAATACATGATAAAAAAAAAGATCTAACAAAACTATTTTTACCACAAATTTGGGTTCTTAAACATTCTTTGGTCAATATACTCGATGATGTTTTGAAATCTGCCATTGTCAACTACTAGGTAATAAACCTAAATAAATATGGTAAGGTATAAGTAACAAATACTGAATAGTTTACATAATTTAATAACATTGTATTTAATAGTTTTAAATAGTTGTATATTCATTCTAAAATTAATAGGAAATTAAAATAACATAACGATTTAATGAAAATAATTGTTGGCTAATGTTAATATAAACAAAGCACCTTGGCAATATAAAATAAACATTCAAAATATAGTTGATATTATAAGACTGCTGCAAATATTGTTTAGAATATCATAATTTTATTAAAATTATCTATCATAATTCATAAAAATGTCAGACCCAAAGAAAAGTTGTATAGGACATTTGAATAACTTAAAAACATGGAGAAATCATATTAGAGTCAGACGTTTATGCAGGAACTTAGTACTGCCGAATAACAAACTACGGGAATTTATGAACCGGATGACTTCCTGCATTGATGAAGGACTTGGCAAGGAAACACATCCAAAAGCAACAATCAAATGCTGGCAAACATATGTCCAAGACATGCCTACTGGTAATGAAAAAGGCCAATTCTTGGCTCTTGATTTGGGAGGTTCAAATTTCCGCGTTCTCAAACTAGATTTAGGAGAAAATAGATATTTTAAAATGAGTCAAGAGACATATGAGTGTTCTAAGGAGTTGATGAATGGATCAGGAACCATATTGTTTGATTACATAGCCAATTGTTTGAACAAATTTGTGATCGCACAAGGACTAAAATCCAATAGCCAACTTCCTTTGGGTTTCACGTTTAGTTTCCCAATGTCACAATCAAGCATTGACTCAGGAGAACTTGTAAGGTGGACAAAAGGTTATACATGTGATGGCGTGGTTAATCAAGATGTAGTACAGCTGTTGTCAAAGTCAATCAAAAATATCCCAGACTTGAATGTACACATTTGTGCAATTTTAAATGACACCGTTGGCACTTTAATGTCCTGTGCTTGGTTGAATCCGAAAACCAGAATAGGCTTGATTGTTGGTACAGGTTGTAACTGTTGTTACGTAGAAAAAGTAAATTTGTAAAAAACTAATCTATTTATATTTCTAATAGCTAAAGACAGTGTAATTTGTATTTTTAGGTGAAGAATATCCAGTTGTTTAGTGGTGACCCAAAAAAAGAAGAAATGGTTATCAATCTAGAGTGGGGTGCATATGGAGATAATAATGAACTTGAAGATTTTTTTACTAAATATGACAAAGTTATTGATGAAAATTCTGAAAATCGTGGCCAACAAATTTTTGAAAAAATGATATCTGGAATGTACCTTGGAGAATTGTTAAGATTAGTATTATTAGACATGATAGACAAAGAATTAATATTTGATGGGACAAAGCCATCAATGCTTAATACTCCTCAGTCATTGACTAGTGATGTGTTATCCTTAATTGAGAATGATCCACCTGGAACTTATACAGGCACTAGAAAGTTCCTTCAGAGAATTGGAGTGGCCAATCCTACAGATGGTGACTGTATGAATGTTAGATATGCAACAGAGTGCATTTCGAGAAGGTCTGCGTATTTAGTAGCAGCTGGTCTTTCAGCCATATTGAATAAGATGAACGAGAAAGATGTAATAATTGGAGTGGATGGGTCAGTGTACAGATTTCATCCGTATTATCATAATTTGTTAGTGGACAAAATAAGTGAATTGGTAAACAGTGGTATAAAATTTGGTATTATACTTTCTGAAGATGGCAGTGGAAGAGGTGCAGCCGTCTTAGCATCAGCGGTTTGTCCAGATGGATAATTATGTTTATTACTTGATGTTATAAATTATAATATAAAAAAAATAATAATTCTATTGTTTAGTTGTCTATTTTTATTTGATTTAAACTATAATTAAAAATTATCTTGTAATTGGCAGTCAATTCAGTGTTTGAGTATGGGTTAAAAATATAAGAGTGTTAAATACAAACCAAGGTCTTTTACCTCTAAAAACTAAACTAAATGTCTCTAAATAAAAAAATAATAGATCAGTGTTCGAACAAAACAACCATAAATACATACATACACATATTCATTAATTTAAATTAAAAAAAATAATAATTAGCAGTTTTAATTTACTAACAAACTACCTAGGTCCTAGGTACCTAATATCCTATAGGTACTTTATTTGAGTTTATTAGTTATTACACATCAATAGTTAAAATGTTATTTATATATTAATATGTTTATTTTAACTTAATTTCATTGATTTTTGTAATTTCGAAAAAGTAGAAACATACAACATCCAAGAACCAAGGCCGAAGTTTACTAACGAAATTAAACAAGTTTATGCATTTCGACGGAAATACTATTGATTACCTATGTTAGGTTTTTATAATTAATTGTAATACTTACCACTCTCAAGAACAGTATTAATCTAAATTGAAATGAAAAACGTAAGGATAAGAAAACTACTACTTTTGTTAGGAAAAATGTAATATTTAATTTCCTATTTCCGATTTCGTGAGTTCGAGTTGTTGACTTTAATTTCAAACATATTTTTTTCAATTTGATTGCCATTCGCTTGTCCGCTTATAAATTACGGTTTAAGATAGTAGTATCACAGAACAGTATCTTGTTCTACAGAGCACGATTAAAGATAGTACTATCAACGGTCTTAGAAGATAACCTCGCGCAGTACCATATTTGAACGGATATGTTGTCCACACTGGTTCCCGGTTGTGCCGCATTTTCCATTTGCTTATCGGCCCGACCCATAGAACACAAATCTGAAATTCTGAAATCATAATTTATAATCACACAAAAAACAAGTCATACGATCACGAGTGATTCACGGCGCGACCTACGGCTTCTTCCAGTCTCCCGTGTCCATACTCGCTACTCCGTGTGCCAGCAGAATTTTGAGCATTACGTTTTTATTGTCTTTAGTGTCGTACTAAATTGAACCAACCATGGCCGAAGCAATGAGACAAACGGTTGCGTCGCTTTTGCAGGGCATCGAAAGGTATGTAAAGTCATTTGAGCGCATTGTTGAATCCGCATCTCTTCTAGTTCTTCGGCAAATTGCTCATCCATTTAATCGTTTGCTTTTAGATACAATCCCCAACATTTGTCTACACTTGAACACTACGTGGAAGTACAGTCCCAAGAGAATACGTACGATCTAGAAGCGAACCTTGCAGTACTCAAAATATATCAATTTCATCACGATTATAACTTGGATATCACTGTACAAATCATGCTGAAAGCGATCACCAACTTTCCTCATTCCGATTTCGTTCTGTGCAAATGTCTATTGAATGAAAAATTGGTAAGCAGTACTTTGGTTACATTCATCCATATTTTTATTTTACCATATTGATTGTTCACAGGGAGTAGGACACTTTTAGATTTTAAGGTTAGACAATTCAATCAAATTTAATACATTTTTAGACATTGATAGGTAGAAATTAGAATACCAGTCTATTCAGCTTAAGAATGAACCGGGTGGCGACCAAAAACTGTTCTTATCAGTGCATGCAAGGTCTCTGACAATTGTAGTCTGGGTCCATAAAAAAATATATAGATGCAATCAAGACACGCTTTTGGCTATTACCGGTGCATTCTTAAACTGAATAGACTATAATAAGGTACGATGTGCTATTAATATTGATCATTCAATTTATTTTTAACTTATAACACCAATTACCAAATCAGAACTTAAGATTCATTAAAAAAAAATGATTATCACGTCTTAGTTAAAAATATAGAAATTAATATTTGTTTTTATGTGCTGACTACTATCTTTTTTTAAAGATTTATTTATTGAATTTCTATAATATTTAGTGTCAAGAAGCTCCACTAAGCCAAGTATTGTTCTTGGCTGATCTATTGGAAAACTGCAACTTCAAAGAATTTTGGTATAATGTTCATTCCACACCTGAACTTTATGCTAAAGTCAATGGGTTTTTAGATTCTGTGCGCAAGTTTGTGTGCCATGTGATTGGCATAACATTTCAGTCTATTGAAAAACATAATCTCATGGAATTACTGGGAGGTGTTGATGGTATGTAATAACCAATTAAATTCATATTCAATTTATTATAATAATTAAAATTATGCTTTTCAACAGATGCTGCTTTAAAACATTGGATACTAAAATACAATTGGAAGGAACTGGATAACAAATACATATTTGTAGCAAATCAAGACGAAAATATCAAAACAAAAAATATTACTGAAAAGATTGATTATGAAAATATTTTGGGTGTTATGGCAAGTTGTCGTTAATTTCTAAAAGTTGTAAATTCAAAATACATTTTTATACCAATACTTAAAACATGTTTATTAACAATAAATAATTGAGAGAATTGGATTATCTTAGATTATATTATTTTTATTGGAATGATTTAAGTATGTTTACTCTTCACTTCTAATTCCATAACTAGGTACTGAATTATCAGTTTAATGTTATGTTAAGCCTAAGTTTATAACAACCATGAATCTATTTTAAATTTAAAAAAACAAAGTGTATGTTATGTAGAAGAATATTTGAAATATTATATAAGTAAGACATAAATTAATGTAGAAAATCATCTGAGCAATATCTGTTTAACTTTAACTAGTTGCTGCGAAAAATTAGAGAATTTTCATGTGGTTTTAGAAATTCTTCAATTATTGCTTCAACCATTTCATTCAAAACACTTTTCAATCTATTAACATCACTAAAAAAAAATTTATAATCATGATTAGTTAAATTGAAAAAAAATAATATTTAATTGTATTAAATTAAATTTGACTTACGAAGAGTTTTCAGGATCACTACATAATTCAGCATAATATTTTATTTTGGGTTCTGTTCCACTTGTTCGTAATGTAGCAATTAAACCATTATCAAAATTAAATGTTATCATTTGAGATGACTTTGATACGGCCAATACTGGTTTATGGTCTATTGTACTGGAATCATATCCAGTTGTCATGTCTCGAACTGATTTGATGGAATATCGTCCTCCAAGAATGGATTTTGGATACTGTCAAAATTAAAATTGTTATTCAAACCTTCAACATATTATGAGTGACAAGTGATTAAACGTTACATTGTTGGGCTGGTTATTAATCTGCCTTATTGATTCAAATATTTTCTTTATCGTCAGGCTATCAGTGCATATAAAATACGAATTTACAGATAAATGCCAACCATATCTAAACAAAATAAAATGGTTTAATTTACTGAGCAAACATTGAATTTAAAATAAAACTTTTACTGTTTGTATATAAATTCTAAAGCTGAGGACAATGTACTATTTTCTTTTTCTAAATATATGGCTAGTTCTGCAATTTTAACAGCAGCAGATATTCCATCTTTATCCAAGACCTCACTGCCGCACATGTAACCAATAGACTCTTCAAAGGCATAAATTACGCTGTATCCTTCAGCAGAGAGCTGATCGGCTCTATTACCCATCCACTTGAATCCAGTGAGTGTTTCCTAGGAGTTCAAACAAATTAATTGTATTATGTATGTTCTGTGCATAAACCAAGATAGTTAACTAAAGATACTAATCTTGGTTTGTAAAAAAGTAATGCATGTAACTTACTTCAAATCTGATTCCTTCAATTTTAGCCATAGATTTAAGTATAGCAGACGATACTGTGCTTGATAGTACAACCAATTTAGGATGTGTTTTACCATGTATTTTTTTATACGAATGTATCACCCACCATCCTAACAAAGCACCAAGTTCATTTCCAGTAAATATTTTCCAGCCCTCACTACCTATACTAAAAATAAAATCTTCCTTATACATTTTTGTTAAGAATATTTTACAATAAAGTAGTAATAACAAATTGTGTTACGGATGTTCTGCTACGGCCATTCTATCGGCATCAGGATCGTTGGCAATTATAATACGACTACAGTTGTTTTCAGCTGTTTCTATTGCCAATTTCAATGCACTTTTGCCTTCTTCCGGGTTTGGAAATGGAACAGTTGGAAATTCTGGGTTTGGATCTTTTTGTTGCTCAACAACTATCACTGGCTAAATAGCGTAATTCAGATATTATAATAGCTACTGCACCAAATAATTTATAAACATATTATATTCATGACATAAATGCATTGAATACAGTTCGGTTAATTTTCATAGATACTCACGTTGAATTTTGCATTTTCAAATACATTTTTTATATAAGGATAGCCTACACCATGCATAGGTGTGTATGTAAAAATTATATTTGTTTTCTTTTTATCCAAATTAGGAAACAACATTTTGTCAATAAAACTATTGTAATGTTTCTGCAAATCGATTAATGGATTAACTAACAAACTATTATTATAAATGTCTTCAGTATTCCAAACACCTTCAGGCTCTAAATGTTCAGTAATACTTTTTTGAATGTTTTTATCAACTGGAGATATGATCTGGAAATATATTTGAAAATGTATTCAAATTGTAAGGTGACTGGTGGAATTACTAATATTCCTTAAAACTTACTAACTTGAGCACCATTATTCCAGAATACTTTATAACCGTTATCTTCTTTAGGGTTATGTGAAGCAGTCACCATTACTCCACCACAACATTTATATAACTTAATACCGAAAGCTACAAATGGAGTTGGACAAACTTCATTCATAAGATATACTTTGATGGAATGTCTTAAGAAAACTTGTGATGTCAATTCGGCAAATCTAAATTGATTTTAAATGATTAATACAATTCACATAATGCAAATATGCACTTTTTCTCTGCAACCTTTTACTATTATATCTTCCATCGTATCCAATAATAATACCAGATGTTTTTAACGAATCCCCAAAGACGCTCAACATGTAATACAAAAGCCCTTGAGCGGATTGTACGACCACCAGATCATTCATACGTTTGAAACCAGGGCCCATCGCTGCTCTCAGGCCCGCTGTTCCAAACGACAGGCGACCATCAAACATGTTTTTTATTTTATCCACATTTTTTTGTGCGAATACTTCTGTTAGTTCAACAGAATACTGTTGTGACTGAAAATTACAGCTATATAAATACAAGCACACAATGACATTTGTTTTACAGCAATACTGTTCTAACTATAAAGCTCATACTTGATTCCACGAAAGCCAATTTTTCACCAGTAATTCTAAATATTCTGGTAGGAATGATGTATCCATTTCTTTAAATAGGTACGTACGTTTTTTCAAGATGTAATTTTAAACAAATGGCTATAGGTTTCAACTTTCCACCGTTGTAATTTGTCCAGAGTTTGTAATTTTGTAAAATACAGTTGTCAATAATTGACTATTTTATTGTGTCATTGTCACTGGCCTAGATAATGAAAATGGTTATTGTGATAAATATTATTATTTTTTTACAATACCCGATTATAATAAACGTAGGTACTTTACTTTATAATTGTGCTAAATTCTAAATTAATGGTATAATGTATTGTATATCTGAATTCTGAGCCCTGTGGTATAAATGTATAATACTAATAATACTATAATCATTAATCACAGAAAAGATTACATTTTTTCAAACTCACGGGAATAATTTGGAATAACATATATATATATATATATTGTTCTATGGTAATAACCACAATCATTTAGAGAAAAACGTTGGCAACGTTTTTTTATCATCGTTGATAACGGAGACATTTTGCAATTTTTTTTAATTAATTATTTCAAACGTTGTTTTTCATTTTACCCTTAAGCGGCTTAGGCCTTAAGGCTGCGGTAACTATAAAAATTAAAAAATGTTTTAAAACTACAAAATAATATAAATATTTTCTTTGTTTTGATGGATTTTGTAAAAATGTAACATCAACTCTTATAAAAATAAACCTAATTAGGTTAGGTTTTGTTAAGATCTTAATTCATGCAAAAAACATATGATTCTGAGTTATGACGGTTTTTTCAAAATGTCAAAGTTTAATTATTTTGAACAGTAGGTATATAGTTACCTACTTTTTAAATTCTGAGTGGAACGATGAATGTATTGATTTTACAATGATGTGTGTTTATTTATTTTTTTTTTTATTTTTTTATTTTTTTTGTATCTGTGTACACGATAAATAGTCGAAATAATGCTTCGATTTTCGACTTCAGTATCTTGTTCGATTGGAAAGTGAATATCGTTGGTGCATTGGGGAGGTCAAAATTTAAAATTCAAAGTACTTTTCAAAAGCGCCAAGAAAAACAAAAGAAAAATTAAGGAAAAACGGGAATTTTTACGCAAAATCGGTTTTCCAAAAAATCGATTTTGGTTTTTGGTGTAACTTTAAAACAAATGACCGTAGATACATGAAATTTTCAGTGGTTGTTTATATTTGCATTTACTATACACGATAACATTTTCAAAATATTTTGATTTATATTGAACTGTTTAGGGACATTTTCAGTTTCCAATTTTATTAGTTTTTTTTTTTATGAATATCAATAAAAATGTATTTGTTGAGTAAAAATACTTGAAAATTTAATACAAGGCTCCTACTATATTGTTTCAAAGACAGATGAAAAGTATTAAAAATCGTTAGTCACAGTTTTTTTTTTTAAGCATTTAAAGTTCAAAAAATGACAAAATATGGAAAAATCACGAAAATGTGCAAATTATTTCTAGTTAGAAATTCATAAAAATTTTTCTTTTTAAATCTAAGATATGAAAATGTAATACAAGATTCCTTATGAGATTTCCTACATTTATCAAAAAAAAAAAAATCTATAAGAAAGTCAAATTAAATTTTTATGAGCGTTTGAAATTCAAATTTTTACAACATTGGATATTCACTCGATTTCTCATGTGGCGATTTCCTTATTTTGTTGTAATTCAAAAACGAATTACTGCAGATACATGAAAATTTCACTGAATGTTTATATTAGCATTTCCTATACACCATACAATTTTGAAAATATTTTGACTCTTTTTGAGCCGTTTACGGACATTTTCAGTTTTCAATTTTTTTAGTTTTTTTTCTAGAAATAACAATAAAATTTTATTTGTTGGTTGCGAAAGCTTGAAAATTTAATAGAAGGCTCCTAATATATTGTTTCAAAGGCAGATTAAAAATATTAAAAATCCTTAGTCACAATTTTTTTTATAAGCATTTAAAGTTCAAAAATTGACAAAATATGGAAAAATCACGAAAATTAGCAAATTATTTTGAGTTAAGAATTAAGTTAAACAACTGTAGATACATGAAAATTTCACTGAATGTTTAAATTAGCATTTTCTATACACCATACAATTTTGAAAATATTTTGATTCTTTTTGAGCTGTTTATGGACATTTACAGCTTTCATTTTTTTTAGTTTTTTTTTCTATAAATATCAATAAAGTTTTATCTGTTGGGCCAAAAAGTGTAAAAATTTAATACAAGGCTCCTGATATATTGTTACAATATCAGTTGAAAAATATTAAAAATACATGGGCACAATTTTTTTTTATAAGCATTTAAACATCGAATTTTGACAGAATTTTTCAAAATCTCGAAATTTATTAATCATCGTAATTAATAAGTTATAAAATGTTCAGTTTTTATAGGATTGAAAATTTAAAACAAGATTCCATGTAAGTAGTTAATTATCTTACCGAAAAATCTAAAAAATATACAATCACAGTTTATTTTTATAGTCATTTTATGTTCAAATTTGGACGAAATTTCATATTAAAAAACCTAGTTATTTTGTTGTGATTATATAATATTATTCGTGGGTACGGGGTACCTACTTGAAACTTCTAAAGTGTATTATTATATATCGATGATAGTATCAGGGTTTGTTATTGATGTTGATATATAACGTATTATAAGTACCTAATGGATATTGTGATAATGTGATATGATTAATTTGGAATTTATTATAGGTCAATTTTTTTTAATACCATAGATTTGTATATAATTTATCTTAAACCTAGACTGACATACCGTCTTTGCTCAGAATCGTTTTTCTTATACAATGATATTATATCATTGAATTCAAATTTAATAGCATCCATTATACAGTGACCCACTTGTAACCTACTGTACAGCAGAGCGACATCCACTTACCCACCTTTTTTCTCTTAAGTATCTACCAAATTTAATTTTTTTACTAGAAACCACCTTTAAAGTTGATGATTGAAATTTGAAGCATTATATTGCTCCACGCCTCCTCCAGTAACTCATGAAGCACAATCAAAAAAAAAATTGACCCAGGCAACCCTCGAAAAGATGTGAAATGTGAAAACACTGAATACATAATATATAATAATATGGTTAATATGTTGAATTTTAAGTAAATATTCTTAATTTAAGACGCGTGTTTTCATATTATTTTTAGAATAGGATTGAACATTTTTCATATCTTCCTTGTTCGAAAAAAAAAATACCCCGACGTATCCCATGGGATTTGACCTAATGTTTTCAAAATAAAAAAAATTCTACCAGCACCCCTTTATTTAATAATTAAAACAAAGGTACCTCTCTAATCGTTCATTTGTCGTTTGACAATGTTACGCATTCTCCTCCTACTCCAAAATTCATGCAGGAGTCTTTCAAGGGAGCTAGACCATTACAACACTATATACCTAGATATCTGTGTTATAAGTTTATAACATTATCACCGCTGATAATATCCTAATCGCTACTAAGGTGGATAACCACCTTGATCGCTACATATGATGACACAGGCATTTTAAGCGACCATCGTAACAACACTATAGCAGCCTCTAATCTCCAATCGCATTTAAAAAAAATTGAAAACTGGGTATCCAATTGGAAAATCAAAATCAATGTTGAAAAGTTCTTCCACGTTCCTTTTACCAAGAAAAGAAATATTTCCTGTCCTTAATCACATCGACTGAATGACAATATACCAATCGATACCCAAATTAAATATCTGGGCCTGATCCTAGATAAACATCTCACCTGGGGCAATATCTTAAAAGCAACAAGGATAAAACTTAACAGTAGACTACACCTCCTCCGTCCTATCCTCAAATAAATCTTTACAATAAAATAATTTTAAGTCAATTTTAAGACTTAAGACCCATCTGGGCTTACGGAATACAGATCTCCATTTACTAACTTCTGCACCCCGCCATGTTTCTAACAACTCACTACACAACGATCTAAAAATTGAAACCGTTACCACAGTCGCATCCAAACACTACAAAAAATTCAACACCAACCCCCTTATAGTCAATCAAGGCAGAGCAAACCCACCTAATAACCCCACCCGTCGGTAAAAAAGACGTTGGTGCAGCGATTTACTAAACCCCTGACCCCAAATATGACGCATGAGGGTTCCGTCACTGGACGGAATCCCTCCTCATACTAAATCATCTTTAAATATTTTCCGTAATTATCCTATTTGCTTATTGCACATAAGTTACAGATTGTAAATTTTCTATTTTAAATAAATAAAAAACATTTTTAAGAATTATATTTGTTCAAATTTTATTTTTCAGAACACAAAGAAATAACTTTTAATAGAATACAATATTTACAAGCATATATATATAACTATATAAGTGACAAACAAATGGAACTAAAAATAGAACTTTAGATATAACTGTCATAAAAAGTCACCACTCATTTTAATAATATAATGTGTATGAGAATTTCGCGAAAAAGATAACGCTCGAAAATTTTCGCTGCCCAAGCGGAAAGATCTGAACGTCGTATAAGATGTTTTCACATCAAAAATTGGTGTTGATAAAATAATATTAAGTGGACCTACGGGGTAGTAAACTAGGCTGGACCTACCCCTTATAAGTTACACCGATAAATGTTGTTAAATAATATTGTACATCAATGCACTCACTAATTTAATTTAGTAGATTTAAGATTAACGTTTTGCCTTAACTTATCCCTAGGAAAATCTTATACTATAGCTCGAAGTCAATGCTCCGACTAGGTATAATAATTCTCAATTATATAGTCTTTCAATCAATACTTAACTAAAATATTACTGGTAGTAGGTACCGAATACCGATCATATCAATACCTAGGTACTTATCTAACCAGTAACCACATACTTTACCAGGGCCCTGAAAAACACTGACCCACGTCCCACACCCAATGTTACGTAAACGTAATGGTAATAATGTAGGTAATTTGTATTTCGTTTCACGTCACTGGCAAAATCAATAAACTCACCCCACTGCTCAGGGTTAAAAAGCATATTATTTTTAA